AAAATGTAAAGAATTCGGTCCCTACTAGTGTTTGGAGTCAGCTAAAATCAGATTAGATTTACTCCGGTTTTTAAAAAAATTTGAAATCAAGTCCTCTACTCCGCTTGACTTCAAATCTATTCCGTTTTTTCATTCATGTTATGCCCCTCGTGGGGCCGTTTTTTGAGTGTTCACCACCGGTTTCAGTAAAAAAAAATTGAAAGTTAGCCAAATCTCACTGTTAAAAAGTAAATTTTTCATAGCAATGCGCCAATAAAGTAACTTCGTTATTTTTTGATGTATGGCTGTACAAATTGGCGGATGCAGAACTTTACTTAAGTTGTATATAAAATATATATGTAAAATGAAATTTATATAAAGTAGAAAAAGTTTGCTTTTTTAAAAATTAAGTGTTAGATACGTTCTACTATATAGAAAATGCTAAAAATTACCTAAATTGTAACATATCCTTACATTGCCTCGCGTACTTATTTTGCATGAATAGAAAATATTTTAGTCAAACAATTAATGTCAGAAACAAAAATTCAATCTAGTACGGAAATTTTGTTTTTGCTCCGATTTTTACAGGAATTTAGTCCTGAATCGATTTTTGGTAGTCCGAACACTGTTCTTTACATTTGTACTGTTTTATAAACCTTAAACCGCAGTGTGGACAGCAATAGTTAGTGAGGTGGTTAAGTTCGATTTGAGATGGTTAACTTTTTGGTGGGGACATGGTATAAAAAGCTCGTACCAGTGTCTGCGGTATTCACCATTATCAACGGGCAAAGGCTCGTAAATCTTCCACAGCACCTTCGAAAACTTCAATAGCATTCTCATCAGATGTTTTCCTAGTCTATGCTTATGTGCCATACTCTAGAACGGCTATTATCAGCGACTTATAGACTGTCAATTGCCTACTCAGTGGGGGTAGCGCCCTTGGCAAGATTTATTCTCCGTGGTGTGTCTCCGTGCTTGTTTTATGATAGGAAGTACTTAGATGTGTCCTCATTTCTGACCAGATTCACGAGGCTTTTAGCACTAATATTTGGAGGGAAGAAGAGACGAAAGGGCTGTTGATGCCGATAATGTCAATAAGGTATCTTTTAAAATTTGTCATATGGGGAATACCTCGCCTTTCGAGGAATTATCAGGTCTAAAGACATTGCTATATCCAGTTGCCTAGGCGGCTTATATAGCATGCTTTCGTCCAACTATATTTTGCATAAATTAGGGATATGTACATTGCCAGCTTCTCACCTCCACTTACTATAAGTCAGCTGGCAGACCATCGGCTACAGGAACACTAACTCCAACAACATCGACATTAGAGTCCGGGCTATAATAATGTCCACGGTATAATATCTACTAATGCCGAATTTTTGGGATATAGATTATTGTAATTTATGTTTAGATATCGACTACCAAAGTTAACTCTTCGTTTGAGTTTACGTCAAAGTTAACGCACATAACTCATGAATGTGTAAACTAGTTTCTATAAACACTTTAACAGCGGCTAGGTCTGGCTGGCTGAGGAGAAATAATATTTTTAATTTTACATTGCTTTTATCCACATACCGCTGTTTATGTAGTTTACCTAACCATCAATATGTTGGATTTTATTAGCCGCCACTATAGGTGCGTAATGTTAGTCAAATGTTCAGCCAACACAGTGATCGATGCTAATATTCTCTTTTACATACTTTTAGGCGTTTTTTGACTTGACTTTGACTTCTTTAAGACTCGACTTAGTAAGCTCATTATCAACTGCAAATTCAACAAGTGTCTTAAACTGCTTCAAACGCTTTGCAATTGTTGATTTTCCTTTCAAATGCTTATGGCAATGGATGAAGTTCGCTACTTAAGTCTTTCATTTTTCACCACCATTTATCGTAAACTGCATAGTGCCGAACAAAAACAAAGTTGATATTTAGAAGTTTTAATATTTAAAAATTCAACAAAAAATATCGTGTTGAAAAACGTTTCACTTTAAATTTTCAAAATCTCCAAACTTTTGAACGTCTGAAATTTGAATAAAAAATATGAAAATTTTTTGATTTCCGATACACTAAAATTTTTGGTTCATCCGCATTAAGATCAAAACTTTAACAAAATCGACTTGCATTGCGCAAAAATTTAGCGCAAATGAAGCCGAATTGCAAGGACTCCAAAGCGCAAGTAGCCGCTAAAACAACAGCAACAATTGGCACCACTACCGCTGCTGCTGCTGCTGCTGCTGCTGTATCTACAGTCGAAGTGGAGAACGATGAGCGATTGGAATTTCTGCGCGAAAATGTGTCACTTATCGGCTGGATGGGCATCATCGCATCCACTACAATGCTGCTATGCACTGGGCTGTCAATGCAATGGAGTGACGAGGTGGTGCGCTATTTTGTGTACGCGCTACGCAAATCTTTCGAAATGGAACGCACGCGAGTGATGCTACAACGAGGTGAGTATAAAAATGTTTTGAGTATTGGAAACTAATTGAAATTTAAATTAAATTCTAGTTATAATGGCATTGAGCACGAGTGCTTACTCCTTGTCGGCCGTCAATATGCTTATGAATATGTTCCTGCTCATTGGCGTGGCTAAGGTGAGCTGTTTGTGAGGTGTTTGTTACGCACGTTAAAAAATTTATATTTTCTGGAATCCTTATAGCTCAACTACAAGCTCCTGCTGCCATGGCTACTCTTTCATGGTTTCCTTTTCGGGCTCTTCGTTCATGTTGCCATATATGCGACTATATCCAGTCTGCTCATTGATTTCAGAATATTTGTTTTACTGGTCGCATCCCTCACAATTGTTCTGAGTAAAATTTGTGGTAATTTTAAGTAAATGAGTCTGATTTAAATGCTTCTATTTTATTTTTCAGTGATTTTCTATAAAATATCATATGAAGTATTCCACTTGTACAAAGTCTTACGTAGAAGTAGCGCGGCGAGATATCAAAGCGTGAGGGAAAATCAATCGAATAGCAAAAATTTCATAGTTTTACAGTCTGAAGTTTAACAAAATCAATTTACTGTGAGACGTAAATTTTACATTTATCTTACCATTAAAAAATGTATTAATCTTAAGTGAGTTCTTATCTGAAATTGCACTTGCAAAAAATGACTAACAAGATTCTGAGTTCAAAAAATAAACAATATCTCAAACTGCACAATTGATAGTTTACTTTAAAATACAAACTAAAATACAAAAGGAAGTATTAAATAATGTCCATCCGGGCCAGATGCGACTGATGATGTTTACCAAGAAAAAACACAATTTAAAATTCCTTTCTCAAGTGCTTCGATAAATTTGATGTAATCAATTTGGTATATACAAATTATATACACTGGTCCAGGAGAAGCAAACAGGTTTTGTACTGACACTCGGTTAAAAACTAATTATCCTCTTCTTATTTCCTTAAAATATTCGACTAAATTAGCTTAAATCCAATTATAATTTAACTACTATCCTTCATATTTTTTTAAAATCAGAAATCCACTTATTATAAATGTGAACGTTTGTAAGGCGATAGGGCTTACTATGTTTCAATGAAATTTGACACACAGACCGATTATAATATAGATTAACGTGGAAGTTTATCAAGTTTTTTTTTAAAGTTAAAATGAAATAATTAATAAGTTAAGTGAAATATTACCACAATGTGGGTGCCAAACGAAAAAGTCCCAAAAACGATTTGTTTCGAAAATATATTTTTTTAAGTAGAATGTCATCTGCTAAAAAGTTAAAATCAATCCAATAAGCAAATTAAAACAAATGTTATAATATGGGTATCAAACAAGAGAAATATCATTGACGAGAGTTTCCACTTGTTTAGAAATTCAAATCAGTTTAATTAAAAAGTTAAATGAAATATTCTAATATGGGTGGCAAAGAAAACTTTATTTGTTTGGAAATGTAAGCTTAATTTAAATAAAAAGTAAGACGAGTTACTGTAGTGTGGGTATCAAACGAGTAAGGTGTAAGAAAGCTTTATTTTGAAAATATTTTGTAGAATGGTAGGCAACTGTCCAGAAGTTTATAATCAAAACTTGCTTGAGTTGAATGAAATATTTTAATATTTGGTTTCAAACGGAAAGAGCTAAGTAAGTTTTGAATGAATTTAATTAATGAGATGAAAAATGCCTTTGCGGAAAGGTTGAAGAAAGCTTTACTTATAAAATAAAAAATATGAATGATCAGCTTAATTCCGCAGTATTCGGTACAATAGACTTAGGAGTAGCTGTAAGCATAACTTTAAACCGTATATGACGCAGCCACGAGCAAAAGCTGGCATAATTATAAATTGAAATTTAACCCCTTATGCTGACTGGCTGAAATCCCAAAATAACTATGAGGCGATTGCATATCTAAATTGTGAAAAAAGTACGCTTTCTCATTTCAAATTAATTTATTCTTTCCTTAATTCGCACATAAATTATACAAAAGTACAGTTATTCAATGTTTTTGCCCACTATGTACAGAATTATGTAGGTAAAGTAAAAACATATGTATATGAGGACATAAATTTATAATTTTTCTTATTTAAGCATTTTTAAAATTGTAAATTAATAGTACAAATAGTGTAACAAAACACCGAAATAGCTACCTATCTACATTCATATCTCTATAAGTAAATATGTATATACGAGTATGTACGTAATCAAAAATTTGGGCACACTTGCCATGTTTAGTAGATTTATAAATATTTTCTCCATTTAATTACTACATATACCTACACACGTATGTATGTATAAAATACACAAATAAAACAGTAATAGCTTAATTAGACGCATAATTACTTTGAGTAATGCTGCGATTTTCCCCCAAAACTTAATGAGATTTAATGTTTAACAAACAATATCAGCCATTTACAAATGAGAAAGAAGCTACCAACAATAAGAGAGACAACAAGCAATTTGAATAAAAACTATTTACAAAAATTCAAATAGAAGCCAATTCGCAAGAGCATAACAATAAATATATTAATTCTAAGACTAAAATAAAAAAGTCAGCATCGAATCGAAGAATTTTTGAAAAATCAAATACATAAATTAGAAGTCGCTTAGTTTAGAATGTTGAGCATTTCTTTTTTCTTTTTTTTAATATAAATTGAAACAAGTGAATTCGAGAATATTCACTTTTACTACAGATTGGTGGTTAGACCGACAACGTAGGATATCCAATCTACCGTATAAGGTACACGATGATAGATGCCCGGCTGGCCGCGCGAGGCGCACGAGTAGCCAGCTGAAACCACGCCTGCGAAGAGAAAGAAAAATATATGCAAATTAATTAGAATTTCGTTTTTGTAAAATAGCAGTCATTTTGTGATTTTCATTTGACTTGCTCACCAATCAAATACCAACGGCCACTCTTCTCATGCATCAGCGGCCCACCAGAGTCACCCTGACAGGAATCTTTGCCTCCATTTCGATAGCCGGCACACATCATTTCCGGGTAAATGACAACATTTATGCCATTTTGACGATGCCAGCGTTCGCAGATGCTGAGATTTAGAAATAGTGTTATTAATAATATTGAAGAAATATTGTTTGTGCTTAATGCAGTTTTATTAAGTAAATTTGGCATTAAATGAAGTCAAGCATATCACCAGCATATTCTTTAACTAATTTGAATTTTTAAACTAAATACATATTTGATGTTTGTTCCCGAGGTAATTATGTAATTGTGCTTTATAAAACAATATTGGGTATGTACATTAGGGTGGTCAAAAAACAGTAAAGTCCGAATTTTAATGTTCTCACCTCCTTCCATATCGGAAAAAATATACCAATATTTTTATTTAGCGGTCGCACAAAATTTTCCTTGTATTTTATAAGGGAAAAAACAACTTTTCATAGAAATGGTATAGAATTCTTGAAAATCAATATTTTTCGATCGGAAAACTCTGGTTCTCTTAAGAAGACTTCCGGTAATGATAACCAATTATTTATTTAACCATTTTTTGATACTAAAGATTTTTTGTTGGTACCCACATTGCATCATCTGGGGGTTTTGGCGGACCTATAAATTATAGTTACTATGAAAAAATGGTAAAAAAAAAACAATTGAATATTATCATGAAGATAAACAGAGTTTTCCGATCGAAAATTATTCATTTTCGAGAATTCTCCACCATTTCTACGAAAAATTGTTTTTTTCACATTAAAATACATGGATAATTTTGACCGCTTTGAGCGACCTCTAAATATTTCTTGATTTAAAAATAAAATAAATTATGGGTATATTTTTTCGGCAAAGAACAATTCCAGAGGGTGAGAGTATAGAAATTCCAAATTTACTTTTTCACCTGCATTTTTTGACCACCCTAATGTACATAAATATGTATGTATTTGTAGACTCACCGATTTTCAATCACCGGCACATCCACCGCCTGCAGCGTTTTTGGCCGCAGTCTTGAGCCAGGATTCAAAGCGCCCCAGCCGGCTGCCCATCCAAATTTTCCAAGAAAGTCCTCATTCTTTTCCGGTAGGCAGATTGGTGCTTAAAAATGCAAATTAAAAGCATTAAAACAAACCAGGTACGTATAAAACCAGGTATATATTTATATGTATATGTTCGGTCGAAGGCTAAAAATTAAATAATTAAGTATCTCATGTCATCTCAGAACGACTTATTACGAAAATGATTCATAGCTCTCCAGACCCCAGATATATACTTTGAAGGCGAAATCTTAACAATACTTTGGTCGTGATGGGTATATCTCCCCCTAAACTTCTACCTATATTTGCTTCAGGCAAACACTGTCCTGATAAAGATCACATGCGGTGATGGCCCAAACAAATATTACAAAAACTCGCAATTATTTTCCCTTGGTGGAGTCTGGAAGATGTAGTGGTGTTTTGGTAAATAGGGAGTCTCATAAAAAAAATCGGGTAAGCCGATTTAAATAATTCAATATTCTTTGGGAATGGTTTATTTAAGAGTTAATGAAATGACTACTAGCAGCTAACAACTTCTGATGAAAATACAATGAAACTTAGGCTTAAGTTGTACATACTGTTGAAACCCAGGCTGATCCCAAAAAAATTAGCAAAACTTTTAGGAGAGTAAGTACTCTGGACCTTTCATTATTCAAGCTAGGTCAGACCGTTTGAGGTACAGCAGTGCGAATCAGCCCAAGCATAGCTTCATCATGACTGTTAGTGCCACGGGGAACAGAATACCGCCGGAGTGTGTACGCGAGCTAGGTGAGCAAAACTAGCTAGATAGAAGTGCACGTGCAAGACGTGTAAGACGAGTAAGACCAGTAAAATTTACGAGAACAGAATGAATATGTGCAAGTTTAGCACCTCGAGTGAGTGGTGAAAGTCGAGTGAGTCGAGCAATCACTCCAGTCTGAGGGAAGCTGTCTAAGATTAGTTGACAGTGCAGGACAAGAGTGTGCTCAGGAGCAAGATGAGTAAGAGGAGCGAGATGAGCATGACGAGCAGAATGAATGAGATGGTGAAGTTGTCTCCGGGAAGTAAGGACGACGTGTGATAAAATCGAGCTAGTTGAGAAATTCGAGCATATGCGGGTCTGGCGAGTTGAGCAATTCGGGTGAGTCGAGCAGGTCGAGCAAGTCTGGCGGGTGAGCATTACTCCGCATATGTACGAAAGGTCAGTTGGTACGGCCTTTCGGGGCGTATCGTGGTGGCTATGGTAACACCAAAACGAGGGTAGAGCCAGTAATGGTTCAATGGAGAGTTGCATTATAACCGGGTGTCTGGACGCAAAGAACGGAAGAGGTTTAGGTAGGCCTTGAACCCTACCAAGGTTGTTAGTGTGTCCATTCCGCACAGCCAATTGGTAGCGAAATTCTTGCATTTCGGGGCGCTTATCATCGCATTGAGTGGATACGTTGTGCTCTTGAGCACCGTGAGGAAAGGTCATCTTCGACGACAGGTACTCACGTTAAATCTCACACACACCTGCTCTTGTACCTAAATTACTCTGATTCAAATTATTCCGAGAGGGCCGAGATAGAAGTCCAGCATTCTTTGCCAGTTTCGATTCCATGATGAATGATCCCAAAAGCCTGGTTGCCGCTTGGCGGTAAGAATGAATGCCTCTGACTTTTTTACAAGTGGCGCCCACGTCTGCTTGAATCGCGATGAAGAAAAGTAGAAGTTCTAACTTGGGATCCACGGATATTTTCTGAAAAAACACCGCTAATCCAATTTTATCATTTAACCTCGACAAACCCCTGAATATGTTTACTAGACTACCGTCCTAGAAGCTGCCATTCTCCATTGTAATAATCACCCTTATGGGTGCATATGTATGTAAACACTCTTAGTTACTCACCTATGTGTGGCATAAAATGCACCGGCCGCTCCAACGTCAATACGGACACATCAAATCGATCCGCTTGCGGTGTAAATTTGAAATACGGATGCACATCGATGCGACGCACACCGAACGTATAGGCCGGCAGAGGTTCGACAGCAGAGTTGATTACGTAATCGCCAAGAGTGACGTGAACCTGGCGTGGTGTGGCACGTGCCACACAATGACCGGCGGTAACGACGTGACGACGCGACACCAGTGAACCGCCGCATCTGTGGGAAGATGAACAGAAAAAAGAAAAAAAAATTCGAAAAGAAAATAAAAGAAAGAAAGAAGAAAGAAATAAGTGAGAGATATAAAATAGCGAAGCGCAAATTGGCGTTGTTGCAAAAATTGTGTACAGCTAGAGAGGGAAATAGTGATAGAGAGTGTGCGGTAGCAGGAAATGAATGTTGCGCGTATACGCCAGTGTTGACAAAGTAGTGATTAATTACTAAATAAACTTTAAACTGGTTGGCTTGTTTGCGAATCGTTGCGGAGGTCACGGCACTTGTGGCGTGTTGACAGCGCATAACCAAGATGCATGCCTGGTACATAGCTATATGTGGACAAATGTGCGCCGGTGTTGTTGCAAACAAGTGCGATCTGTGGCAAGGAGCTAAGTTGCGTCGCGTTGAATCGATTATGCAACGGATTGTAAGTTCGTAAAATTTTGTTGACGCTTTCGTATGACATCAACAAACAATAATATTTGTATAGCTAATACGCAAATCACTTTCGTTGTTATGCAACTTGCGGGCCAACTGCCAGCAGCGTAAATTTTTGCCTACACTTCGTCAACACTTAAGACTTTTTATTACTGCCGTTAAACACTTGGTTCCGGCAGCTGCTTTGCAAATAAAATCTTGTTAGCACAAACACTTACCTCGAGGATCCGATACGTATGTACGCCTGCCAAGGAAATGAACCGAAACCGGCATCGTCACCGCCGACTATGCGCCGTTGAGCGGCCTGTTTGGCCAGTGAAATGCCGCAACCTGGAAAATTTTTGAAGAAAATATTAATAAATGTACGTACTTCCGACAAAGATAAGGCAATGAAAATATTAATTTGTGTTGTAGTAATGCAAGCAAACATTCGATAGGAAATTAACGATGCAGACGAGGATAGACTATGTTAGGGATATATTCATTTTTTTTTTTAGCGAGCGGTGAGTGGATGCAAAGTTATGAAAGTGAGCTACATAACGTCACCTGGGTAAAAGATTGTCGTATGTTACGCACGTACGTATGACGCTTACGACAATATTTTGCCGAGACGACGATAAGTGAATGAGAGCAAGATCATTAGTAGCGGAAAATTTTCGCAAACTAGCAATTTGTAATAAGAAAAATCAACGACTAAAAGCTACACAAATAAAACGAGTGCAATTTAAAAGGCAAATTTATGTTGCAAATAAAATTTCAGTTTTTACTCCTTTTCTTCTTACTAAATCGAAAACCACAAATTCGTTTCTATACCACACGTTGCGCCACTCACTGATCTTCCGCAACAAATTGGCAAGCCACAGCCGCAAATGAAGGTTGCAAACCAACTAGACACAAGCAAATGAAACTACGTAGATGCAATTTAGAGGGTTTAGTAACGCGATCGCAGCAAACAAGTAAAGTGATTTAAATTGGCGAAATACGCGGCAGTGGTATTGGAGCGCGCTTTCAATTACTTAGACTTTTACCGATAACAAAATACATACATACGCTAAGCGTACAGCATTTGGTATTGGCATGAATGCCAAATTTTTTTTTAACTAATTACATATTTGCATTGCATACGATTATTATGTGAATCGGGGGCATGCAGCGTACGTACGGGCGAGTGGCTGAACTTAAAATTTAGCTAACATAAAATGTTGTTAATCTTAGGTGGCTAGGTGGAAGGCGCTTGGGTTTGTGAAATGTGGGACGGTTCACTGAGTTTCGAAAGGGGCTATATTTCTGTATATTTTAGTGAAAGGATTTCGTATTTAAATGGCAATTTCGAGTAATGCGTAACATAAATCGATTTTTTTTGTTATTGGCTACTAAATAGTTACTTGCTAAATATTTATGTATAGATAAGTAGTAATTTGTGATTTTACGAGCATATTTTTAGCTTAAATATTTATTATAGTGCAATGCTCTAACCAACTAACTAGCTACATATGTATGTAACTACTCACTAACTAATAATTGCATGCATAGTAAACGATTGTGATTAATATACTTATTTGTTTTGTTTTTTTTTTTTTAATAAATTAGTGTTGTTTTTGTAATAACGAATTATTTTTTGGTGCAGCAAACAAATACGTTTGGTGTGGGTAGCGAAAATCATGCTCATGCACAGCTCGCAATCTAAATTGAAAAAGGTGCTCCCTTCTTTTTTGAGAGAAGTCTGGGTATATAAAATATTTGTTACAAAATTTGACAATATGATGAACATTTCACGACGATTATCAACAAGACAGAAGTGTCAACCAAATTTACACAGCTCTCTTTGTAGCTAACTATATTGTCAAACAATACAAAAAATGCAAATAGAAAATATTTTCAATACGATTTGAATTATTTTCTTCTATGTTTGACACTTCAGTCGCTGTCCAAAAGAGAAAAGTCTCGAAATTACTTCTAGCTTTTTGAATATGCCAGCATTTATTTAGGCTTTTGGCAGTTCAATTGAATACTACGTTTCACTGAGGTAGGTACATTTTTTCTTAAAGCTCCGAACTCATAGAAATCATTGAAACTTTACTTTAATAATTTCTCGAAGACTTGTCATTTCTGAAGGGACTTTTGGTCAGACAAAACGAAGAATCTGCTTATATTTTGATTCCCATGAATAGGTAAAATTCTAATGAATAAGTAATGTAAATGCAATATCGGGAGACGTTAGAAATGTTGATAAAATAGGCCCACCCACCCAGCACATTCACAACAATGTCTTTAATCGCTCGCCATCTCATTCAAATTTTTTTAAATCAAGCCAATCAACAGTATTCTTTTAGCGGGCGGGGGCCAGTAGCGCAGTATACTCATTCGTAATATTTGATAAAATAAATTTTATGAACTTGTTCTTAATATGCTCGATACATAATCCTAGATACCATGCAGCTTCGTGCTTGGTTCCGCACTAGTGGCGCGCCAGTGTGATCTTCTCCTCAGATTGATTGGTTAACGTTAATTAGTTCCAGCGCCTTCTCTACGACTAAAAATTCCGCATAGAAAATGCTATCGTTAAGTAACAATCTACCTTATACCTATCAGTATTCCGCTTAAATCTTAGAAATTGTAATAAAAAAAAAAAATTCCCAAAGAGGCACCAACTTAAGGAATCAGTTTAGGAATTTTGTAAAGCTTATTTGCTTCAAAAATACAACAAGGGCGTAATATTTTGGCTGAGAAACTTTAGTTTTCATGATTCCAACTAATAACATAAAAAATAAACTGGACCTTAATAACGATCTTCATAAGTATAATTTTAGAGTTTTTCTTTGTTTTTGTTTTAACTTGAAGACAACATGAAATTAACTTAATATATATATTTTTCGTTTCTTGTGACCATGCAAATAGATTTCTTGATGCAACGGTAGCAAAAATATGTGTTTTTTTTCAAGTTCATTCCATACTGTTTTCAAATGAAAACCAGAAAGAGGTCAAGACGCCTTTTTTTCAGGAAGTTTTTTTGAAAAAGTTTTTGAACTTTCATAGCATCCTCTTTGATTGGGTTTCTGAGGCCGCTAAATAGGATACTAGTTATTTCATAAGATACAACTATTGTCAACTGGCGTTTCAAAGTACGGCAAGGGGATAGGCATTTTTTAAGCAATTATCACAAGTCTCCTTGAGTTTTTTTAGATAAAAAATTGCTGGAGTTCTCAACTGTGGACGACGTTCCCATGCTTGGCTCACCTAATAATAATACTCTCGTACCAAAAGGTAATCCCTATATCAACTAGCTATCTCTATCCCAACTCTAAATCTGGTCTACCGCTCTCCCTCTGATAAACATATCGTCGGTGATATGATATTAGTACCACTTATATGATCTCTTACTTGCACCGGAATGCATCTGCAAATCCTTATACCCTAATAAACGAATGACAAAACTGTGTGCCTTTGGCTAATGAAGATGAACGATTGCCAGAAGCGATCAAATACAGATAACAGATCTATTAAGCACCTGAGGTAATAAGTGACATAGCACGTTTTGCAGTATCACCGACGATATATGTACGCATGTAGATTTGACAAATAGGGTATTTATTATTTTTATAATTTTTCAGAAGAGCATATCTTCTAGCAAAGATTCCCACTCAATTTATTCAAATCGTCTAATTAAAACTCTTTTATAATTTTCTCATTGATACACAGTTTTCTGGTTACCGAGGCGTATGATGAACCCGTAACTGAGCAACTTTTGCTTTGAACTCCAAAAAACTTAGCTGG